GATTTAAATGTACAATATACAAACAATTGTTTTTATTGAATGATTTCTTATTTCACTACTACTTAAAAATTTATTATTAATGTCAAATTATTAACAACCCCCATTTCTAAGATAAATGTAATTTGAATTATAATTTGTTAGTAATAACCCAATATTTGTTAGTAAAACTGTAAAATAGGAATAAAGAGACTAAATTAAACCAAAATTTATCAGGCATAAGTACTAGCAAAAATACTTATTAATCGATATTTGAAAATTCGGGTATGCAAATCTGAAGTAAATAGCGTGGTCACCAAGGCTTTGTCTGCTTTCCCAGTTTTACCTCCTCACGCTCCCGTGCGACTCAATTTTGAGCATGCAAGGGTTTGTAACTATTCACGTTTTGTTTAATGCATGTGAGTGGCTCTATTTCTACACTTGATGCCCTGTGCGTCATACTGACTAAGTTTGACTAAGTGACTAAGCACCTAAGCACGTCAAAGCTTGTCCACCTGACAAGTTACATATTGTACATAGTTATGTATAGTTATACAACTTTGAATTTCTTCAAGTTTACTCATTCACAATTCCATGATAGGCTATGCCTCTATGTACTAAAATTCCAAAGCTTGAATGAAGCCAACTTAAGGACAAAAAATATTTGAACTTCTTTAATTTTTTTTTTTTTCAGTTTTTGTAGCTAAATGTTTTTCCAATAATATTAAAATACAATTGTGCAATACAGTATTCATACAAAAGAGGCTATAATTTCTTGGTTTGAAAATAATTGTATCAGTATTCAGTATACGTTAGTTTAAATTAAACTACCTTCCAAAGCTTTGAATGGCAGTGTCCAGACTTTAATTCTCCTTTATACAGATGTACAGGTACCCTAACCTTATTACAATGTTTAAAATTTAAAATATATTGTTGCATCTTTATTCAATACTATCGTAATACTTAGCCAGGAAAAATTTCGTGTCAAAATAATCTAAAAATAATTTAACAATAAGAAACAACTCAAGACAAATCAAAAAACGTATCAGCCGTTTGGTTTTACTGCAGATATAGCTATATATACGATCTAGGGAAAAAGTTCCGATATTGAATCCGCCTAACCCAACGCTGCCGAGAATACTTGAACGCCGAATGTCCCTAGCGCCATCTATTTTCAATTATTGAAAAAAAAAAAAATCGTCTCCAAACGGATTTGAACACCCATCCTCGTGTTCACTAGTTTGAGAATTTATCCACTGTGCTATGTGCGATGCATGCTATAGGAATTCGATTAGTACATCTTATCTTAAGGATTAGTAGGTATTTTTTTTGTTTATTTTTTTCTCGACGTCCTTTTTCTTAAAAAAAGCCTCGCATAGTAGTGATTATTCATAATTTTAATATTGTTAACTGTTTGCGTTGAATAAATGTTAGTTATAACTATTACTATCAAGTAACATAGTCAACTCTAAGCGCATTGTTTCATAATTATTATTTATTATTATTTCGATACTCACGTTTGTTTTTAAATCTGTTTAGGAAAAATTTGTCTAAAAAATATTACCCTCATTTCAATAACAGAATTTGCAAATACGTGTGGCAAGGCCATTGTGATCTCGGCGCAATAGCCACTTTTTCTTCTTCTTTTTTTTTCTATTCAAAGCTGCAGTGGAACAATAATGATCCTAAAATATAGCACAAAGCAATTGTCGGTTCGTTTTGCCTATCAAACTATTTTACATTCCCTTTTTTGTGATTATCGGTCAAAATCGCGCAAAGAGAAATCCAATATGACTACACTAACTACATATTTTTATAATTAATTTTTTTATTATTAGTATTAGTACTGTTATTATTCTTATTGTTAATCCATTTCTTATTTATATAGGAAAGAGTCACTGATCGTTAATGAGAAAGTCCTAAAGTTACGGAAAGTATGCGCGGGTGTGCATAAACGGGAGGACTATTGGTCGTCGAACCTCGAGTCAACTGGTGCATTTTTGATCGGGTGCTCGATTTTTCAGGAGAGAAAAACAGCGAGAAAAATACTGCAAAAATTGCAAATTTACAGATAATCGTGCGCTAGTTGGGATTAACGATCCTTAGAACAGACTTTATTTGCAGAGCACAGCCATGTGAGTTTACACTTTTTATTTTATTTTTAATATTTCCTCAAATATTCGAAACACCTCGAGTCAGTATTCTAAATTTACAAAAATTATGTACTACGTTTATTTCACTTTTTTTTTTTTTTCCGAAAGGACGTTGTCGATACTCATAAGGAAACGTGTATAAAAACATGCTATGTAAAAAGCTTAATAATGACACTATACAAAGTACAAAAAGTAGATCACAGATGAGTTAGAAAGCAAACAAATTGGTTTTTTCCTTAATCAAAAAAGGAACGCTTAAAACTAGATTTTTTGTTCGGCCAGCTCTCATAAAATGTAAATTATCAATAATTCGATTTTATATTTTTTTTTTTTCATGAGTACCACAAGATTAATATCGGTGCGACGATTTTGTTTTTATAACGCTAAGTTTAATGCACACCAGTTGAAATTCGAGGTTCGATAATGTAAAAGCTGTATTTATCTCCGACATCGCAACTATTTAGATTCTGGATATTGACATGTTTTTTGTTGTTGTTGTTTATTATTATTATTATTATTTCAACTTTTTAACAAAATTTATGTGCTAAATTGAAACACGATTCAACATTAATTCAACAAATGAATCGGACTGGGCGCGCGCCTCTTACTACATAATTATACACGTTTAGCTTAGCCATCCGTTTTTTTTTTTTTGTTTTTTTGTTTTTTTTTCATCACCATCATTTTTGTAACTACATTGAACAATATAACATCGTATTTGTATCACAGCAATGTATCAGTAGCGTAATTAGATTATTTCTCATTTCCATTTTTTCCTTTACTTTGGATATGGCAAATATGAAGATAAATAGTAAATTATACTAATGTACGTCTATACTCTTTGGGGCTAAATGCATATCACAGTGGGAAAATTTTATCCTCTTGAACGTGCTCTTCTATAAACTTATTATTTTTGTCTTCCGAGGCGTTTAAGAATTCCTATTCCCGTGTTTATTACTTTTTTCGCGTAATTTATTTTATTTTATCTATAATAGCAGAGGCGCGCCAGTCTACGTAATGCGATTCTTTACACAAGTTATACACAGTTCTGAAAAGTATTTTCGCGATTTTTTATTCGTTTATTGTTATTTTACTTTTATATATTTTTATTTTCGTGTTGCTACATCATCGAGTTTTACAATTTATTTAGAGAAGCGCTTTTGTGTTTGTTTTTTTTTTGTCTCATTATCTGTTGGACAAAAAAAAAGTAAGTGACCTATCAAAAATCAAAATAGGATTTATCCATGTTTCTCGTGTTGAATTATTTTTATCTTTCGTTTTATTTCTATCATACTGAGAAATGCACCATATATTACTTCCGATATGCTCTAGCTAATCTAATATCCAGTCTTAATGCTAATGATTTGCCGTGCAAGCGGGTTAATCGTTTTAATTGTCACCTGACGTGATCTTTTTTATCAACTTGTGTGAATTACGAAACATAACAGAAATATGTATATGCACACATTCATCAACGGTTAACTTGAACAATTCAACTTCGGTATTGATACTATTCTCGTTTTTCTTGTTTTTTTTTTTCATCAATTTTAATTTGTACACATAACGGCGGTGTCGTTTTTACCTCAAACGAAGTGATACGTATAAAAGATAAATGAAAAAGTAATGTACATCAACCGGACGATTTACACAAAGAAGGCGTGTCGTATTAAAACCCATAGCACACGGCTTAATTTTTAATTATCTATACGTGCTAATGAGCATGCAGTTGTCGATTAAAAACTGTACATTAGCCATGATTAAGAAGTTTCGATTATACCGATATAATTAAGTTTATAAAGCTTAGTCAAGTTAACGTTATACTTATCGTCGTACATCCGAGCCTACGTTCGACTTTGCTTTATGAACATTACGGCTTAAAGTACGATACGAGTTTTTAATATTTCTGTTTGCCGAAATATTCCAAGAATATTGTCATTTTCACCATTTTTCTCTTGAAACTTTGAATTTTTTGTGTTTTTTTCTTTATGCTTGGACCAGATTTCGCACTTTTAAAGAAAATTTATGATATTAATTTCTTCGAGTATTAGGATTTAGAATTTTTTTTTCTTTTTTAACTAATTGCAGGTATTTACGTATGATGCAAGACTTGTAAAACATTTATAAAACATTCAAAGTTCTTTGAAAAAACTATAAACTTATATACGCTTGAACACTTTTAGTGATTACTTTTTTTTTCTAATGCCCTGCTGTTTCTAAAAAATAAAAAATCGGCGTTTTTTCTCGCTATACAGTTAAAGAGTTATTTTCATGACGAAACGAGGAAAATATCTGTTTTAAACTTACGTAACTTCCAAATACAGAAAAAGTTTGTTTTACTCCTTTTACAGTAGTTACTTAGAAAAATGATCGTGCGAAAGCTTCTATAATTTTTGGTACCTTTTCGTCAAAGCCGCATATCGTTAGAATATGATTATCGTAAGTATTCTTGCTTTGTGTCGAAGAGGCACACATGGCACAATTCACCAACCTGTAATAAGACAAAAATTATTATTATTATTACTTTAATAATTAACTATTTTTGAAACAATTTACAGTAAATCGTCAGAATACACTTACTTGGTATTAGGTTGGCCCATTTTCGTCCTATACGATTTTATACCGGCTTCCGAAGTGTCTGATTTCTGATAAGTTTGATTGACAACGTTGATGAAAACGTCGATGCTCTGTTTCTTATCAGCAGCCCAGGTCATGGGCTTACTCAAATCAACCACATCCGTGTTGGATTCAAATTTTTTCAAATGGTTCATAGCTTGTAGGAAATTCAAATTCGGATCAAGTTCGACGCATTTTATCTCGTCGTTTACGAATGTTGCTACGGTGACGTTCTTCTCCGCTCGAAGAAGAGCCAGTGCAATTAGACAGCCAGCCTCAGCGACGGTCACGTTGCCACAATGCCAGCAGCCAGACTCAATGACAGTTTTACTCATATTGATCGTAATCATGTAGTGCACGTTGGTTTCGCTTTCTTGCAAATGCTGTGAACAAATCGTCAATTTTATAACATTAAATGCTAATGTACGAGGGTGTAAATGCATATACGGGAGATCTAACTCACGGCAAATGACAAATTCAGCAGTTTGGTTAGAGCATCCATAACTTTCTTGTTGGGTGCGGGAGGTGGCTGGAAGGGTGTTTTTGCATTTTCCCTGACCTTCCGCTTTTCGTATGATAGAGGCCTGTAAAAGTAAGAGCAAAAATCAATTTTAAGAAATTAATTCACGGTATATAATTATTGGTTTTATAAATTGACCAAAACACTTACTTTCCACAATTTTCGTAATCTTTCAGACAAACTAAAAATATTGCGGGATGAATAGGCTTTTCTTTCAAAAAATTTTGTTCGCTTAAAACATCCAAAACTTTGGAGATCATAACAGTACGATCAGGTTCTAGGAATTTCAAATTATGAATTCTCTGAAGATATTTCAAGAGATCTTTTATACTCATCGCGTTTACAAGTGATTCCCATATCTGGAACACAGAAAATAAAATTATATATAAACTGCCATACCCATAAGTATACTTATAAAATGAAAACACTCACATCACTGGCTGTCAATAAGTGCCCTGGGACATGGTCGAGCGTGAGATTCAAGGTTTCGATTAATCTTCCCGCCACAACTGGATCTTCGCAATGCTTGAAATCCTCAATCGACTGAAAATATTGCATCAGACTGGTTTGCTCTTCATTAAGCTGTTGATATTTGCTTTTAATTCCATTCATCCCTCGCAATATGTAATCTACTACAAACATTTTGTCTGAAAAACAAAGTCAAATTAGAATTTATCTTTTATACACAAAAATTATAATGCAGCCAAAAAAAAATTATTCCTCACTCTCATCCTCAGGTTTGTAATGCGTCAACCGAATGATATCCTTGTGCTTCCAGCCATACCTGCTCAGACCCTTGCAAATAATTTCAGCCAGTTCTCTAGCTGTTTTTTTGTCATACCAAGTTTTAATCGCTCGCCTCAATCCATGACCCCAACCACTCTTGTTGTTAATCTTTTTGCTCAACTGTGAGGTAAATTTGTTAAAGAGGATAAAGTTGTCTGGTGTTTTGCAAATGTAACCCATGGCACTGTATGCCTTTTCTTTTAATTCCAAACTTATTTCCTGACGAGCGCTCATAGCTAGGGCAAAAATTAGTGTCTCTGTGTTCTGCACAAGGCCTCGTGTATATGCCTACGTAATATCAAGTAGTTACGTTTCAAATCATGTTCCACTTACTTATACTTATTACTAACGGGAAAAAAAAAACAGAATCTTGTACAAATGAAGTACCTCGTGAATGAGAAAGATGAGGGGTCCAACTTTGTCAGGATTGGAAGCGAGTTCGTTGATAGAAGGAATGTTTTTGACATCGTAGTAGTTGTGGACAAACCAGTTGCCAGGTTGATACTCCGGCCGACTTTCTTTGCCGATGTAGAGAAAGCGACGAAGCCGCGTTTCCAACGCGCTGGTATCATTCAGGTCGGGCATTTGTTACTGTGATCGCTCTACCTACCTGGTGTTATTGATATTTTTTTTCTTATCTATTCAAGTTCCTACAAAAAATCAATATGAACTGATTGGTAGGTATAGTTTCAGCAGGACAAAGGTAGTTCAACTAGAGGAAAGATCATTGAAAACATGAAAAATCATGCTTCTAAATACTACAACAGGTGAAAACATAAAAGTTGCTACGGTTTAACGTTTGGCAACAAATATTTGTGTATACGACTGCGAGAATTGAGGCCCGTATACGATCGAAGAAACTGCGTGCTCTCAAGAGTATCAGTGTAAGTGATTGCACATGCAAAAATTTCTCATTTCTCACGTACGATTTCAACGGGTTAATCAGGAATATGGCTACCTTGGAGGACGGAATCAACGTGCAACGGTACATTCAATTGTCAGGATAGTGTGTTACATGCTCTCTCTATACTCTACACACAACACACTAGAATTACTAAAAAGAGAAAATAATAATCAGAGCAACAACAACAACAGACGATGGAGCAGCAGGCGCGAACGAGAATGAATGTGGCTCTCACGTAAGTATTGTTGTGTAGGATTTTTTAACAAGGTAATTAGTAAATAAATTAATCATCATTATTTACAGAAATTTTTTTCCTCACCTATCAGTACAAATATCTCTCGTGAATTCACGTTGAACATCAACAAAATACGAAACTCTCTCTCTTTACAGGATGATAAATAGTGTGGCAGTGGTGTATAATGATAACTGGACTACTGCATAGGACACTGCGCACTGCGCATCAAATCGTGAGTGCAGAGTTTGCAAATATTTGCACTATTTGCAAGACCGCGAAATTTACATTAAGTGCTAAAATTTTTTAAAAAATTTTTAATTGAATGTTTAAAATTTGAAAAAAAGAATGTTGGAAAAAAAATTCTCGAAATCGTTGATACCTCTTGCGCTACCCTTAAACCCTTGCGAAATTTATTTATTAAAAAAGCGACGCGTAGTTTTCAATATGCGATCAAATGGATAAGTATAAATTGCTGATGATGAATACGAGAATTCTTATTTGCCGAATCCACATTCTTGGTTTTTTTTTTTATTCGATGGAAAATTTTTTTTTCCTTACACCTCCGCCGAAAGTTCGTTCCATCTGACCCGATTTTGAGCTAGAAAAAGCCTCATATCAGTCCTGCCATATGCGCGCAGAACGAAGTGCGCACATATATATAGTTATATATTCAGCACCGAGAAGCAGCAGTAGTTATACAATACATTTATATGGCTAACGGAGTTATAACCTTTATAGTTTATACAACACAGAAAATCGTTGGATATTTATTTACATAAATTATTGGATGTATATATACATATATTTTTTTTTGCACAATTTACATGTACATATAAATTTATTAATTTCATATGAACAAAGTACACAACACAAAATTAAAACTACCAAATTAATGTTTCTTGATCAGTTACTTTCACTTTAATGATTTGTTTAGTATGTAAATGTAGTATATACATGTCATATTACAAAAATAAACTATGAAATCTTTTANATTAAATTGCCAGCACGACCAATCTGCACAAATCCCCGGCCCAATCTGTTTCTATATAATATACTACAGTCTCGGCAAGCGTAGAGCTCCCTCCTCCCTTCTCCTTTCCTCAGATATGTAGATATACCTATATACATGTACACTCATCTACGTGCATTGTGGTATTGTTCGAGCGACCGATCGATCAACAATAATGCATAATGCACTAAATCTTTGACTGGATCTTTAAACCTTCATTTTTAACAATACTAAAACCGTGGTGACGAACTTTCGGCAGAGGTGTAAGGAAAAAAAGTATACGTACCACGGCCGAAAAGTGGGGCTACATCTGACCGCGCATTACCGGCCTCGCCGCGGTCAGTAATAGCCCCACTTTCTGGCCTAGGTACGTAATATACTAATGTCGGTAATGTGGCACACATTTATAAATGATTAAATTTTATCACTGTTGGATGTTATCGGCAGCAGCTAATAACTTATGTAAATTAAATCAAAAATAAAAACATATATAAATGATCGATTTTACAGAAGCGCGGTCACGACATCTACATACAAATGCATAAGCACGCACAAAAAAACGTATCCCCAAAGTAGTATTATATATAAATATATCTGGTTGAAACCGCAAAATTCCAAGTCATCGAATAATATTAAATTGTACAGTACCAAAAAAGTTCAAAGTACTTAATCGATTAAGTTCTACAGTGTTTGGGATATAAAAACATTACTATGGCCGAGTGGTATCATGAAAAAATCGCCAATTTCGCCTCTAAGGAGGAATTGGCACAACGAAGGGAAATCTTGACCGAAATCAAGCTGAAATTAGACAGTTTGAGCGAAGCCGATCGCAAAGGTATCGTCCAGAGGATAGATCTCAAACCTTTGTTTATGATGTTGCTAACCTCAAATGACAAGTAAGTTTATCCAAGTGTTTGTTATTGTTCATTGGTTAGACGTTGTGCTGAGCCTTGAAATTAAAAATTCAATGTGTTGCAGATTTGAAACTGAACAGATATGCGACGCAATAGCTAATTTTTCGCACGTCGCGGAGCCAGGATACGTCCTGCGGAAGCACAAGTCGGACATTTACGATTTGATATCTCACAGCCAAAATATTGCAAGAGCCTACGCGCTAGGAGAGATGCTCGTGGTTGCAAGAAACAAAGAATTGTTTCCTCAGCTGTTGAAAGAGACGGATTTACTGGTAAAAGCTATTGAAGTCGTTGGTGATAAAGATATTGGCGTGGCTCAAATTGCGATGAAGATTTTGAAGAGGATTGGACAAAATCAGGAAGGTATAAAGTTATTGTACAGCGGGCCGTTGATGAGAGCAATAGCTAAAGTCATGACTGCCGGTGATGTGGCCAAGTTTAGAGTGTACGATGTGGTTGTCGAAATTGCCATAAGCAGTGAGGCTGGCCTCGAAGCGTCCATCAATTCAGGGTATCTTCATGATTTGCTCAGAATATATGACTCTGATGATATCCTTTTACAACTAAACGTACTACAGACGATGTGTGAACTTGCATCGACAAAGGGTGGTCTAGCGTTTTTGGAAGAGCAGGGATTTGTTAAAAAGTTGACAGACAGGATAGTCACGGTCAATGATAATCCGCTTGATCAATTGTTGATACCTGGTTTAATGAGCTTCTTTGGACACTTGGCGAAATTGTATCCTCAAGAAGTATTCTCAAAATATCCACTTGTTATTTCTGCTCTTTCAAAAACTTTCCACTCTGATGAGCAGAATCATGTTAAAATAGCAATTGAGACTTTTGCTCATATTGCAAGTACTCTTGAGGGAAAATATGTCCTCCAATGTAACAAAGATTTAACAACAACTTGCTTGGAAACGGTTGGAAAAGTTATTCAGACCTGGCAGACACAATATAAAGTTGATGCACTGAATTCTTTGATAACAATCTTGAGTATCGAAAAATCAGAACAAAACAACAGATCATTAGAACTTACAAAATCTTGGTTCAATTTGATCAGCGATAAGGCACTGGAGGTCATTATTTCTTTATGTAAGCAACCATTTGCCGATATCAGAGTAGCAAGCCTTCAGGTCTTTTCTGTAATTGCATCACAGCCATGGGGTCAAGAATACATTGCAAATTATCCTGGATTGATCGAGTTTCTATTAGATAGGAACATTGAATCATTCAAAGAGTCTAAGGAAGTAAAGTTTCAAATTGTAAAAAATCTCAAAGATTCCCAATCAAATTTGTTTGACGCCGAAACGATGCAAAAAATCAAACAGTTTGTTAGCGAAGGACCTTTCTATGTTGACGTAGTTACTGAAGTTGCTCTAGAAGGTGCCTCATAATTACGCTTTGTGCTTTACTGTTTAAGATCGTATTTAAGAAATATTAATAATAATAT